TTCATTACATAGGCATGTCATTCCTGATACGAGCATGTCATCCCTTTTCCCTGCAGTTGTTATATTTGGATGAGTCTTGAGTAATATATGGCTAATACTGTATGTCAAATGCCTTTTTTATTCACAGGTTACCTCAGGAAAGACCACCCTGGAGTTAAAGAGGTTCTAGAAAACCGAGCAGAACTGTGGTTCTGTGGGTTGTGATAGAACAACACATGAAGTGAAGAATCAGTTGTCCCTACACCACACAACAGGTATCTGTCTACTGTGATCTTAATAAACTTCCCTAAACAATCTGTAAAATACTTACTGATCCTCAAAGCTTTTTTTTTTTTTTTAGCATTAATCTTTCCAATTTCCCCATAAGTGCATTTCTTCTTGTCTTCTTCCCAGCTGGTGTAAAGGAAGACCACAAGCACGCTGCCATCCGTGCTCTCTTGCGCTGAGAAGGCAGGCTTCTTCGGGCTCTCCTGGGGGACTGTGCCTCCAAGGCTTCCAGTTTCTTTTGATGGTCTCTTCCTGACTTGCTTAAAGTGAGGTGCCAGCAATAGGTGAGTGCTTCAGTAGGGACCTACCCAAGGCTGCATGATGGAGGATTACCTCAGAATGTACCAAATTTGCTATTTATAGAGGCATTTCTGAGTTGGCTCTGTAACTCCAAGTTTTTGATGTCCTCTCTCCCCCCACTAGACAAAATGTCTTGAATTCCCAGTGTCTTCAACTTTAGCCATGACAGCAACCACAAGCTCTCTCATTTATAATTACAGAGCTATAATTCTTCTTATTCTGACCTCATAAGCCTTCTTTGGCAAATACAGTGTTTTCTTATGGGAAATATATGTATTTTGGCTTCTTTGATATGACCACACAGTCCATGAGCCACAGCCTGAGGACATCAGATACAAAAATACTCTGATTCCATGAAGAGAGGAGTTGGGGACCTTTGTAGTCTTTGGTCTTAGCTCTTAAAGATAAATCAACTGCAAACACGGGAATGTAAAATGCATGGAGTAATAAACGGACACTTTAAAAGTTTTCTTTATTTTCATTGTCAAGATCGAGGTCAATCTTCAATAATTTTCAGATAAAATGAGAGCACATAAATGCTCCCATTAGACTAGTTTTAACTTAGATTATTCATTATTTCCAAAAAAAACAAAGTCTGCTTTTTCAAACACCATTTCTGTGCGCAGATTATATAGCTCATTCATTTCATAAGGCGTGTAAACCAGATTTCAGTTCAAATATTAAAACATTTTACACTTGGGTTTCATAATTAAAAACTCGAGTGAAAAGTTTGCAAAAAACCATGCCTGAACTGCAGAACAGGAGTACACACTAAAGACATTGCAATGTACACATGCAGAGACATGCACATATGAATATATATGTATATGAACATACTAGGAAGATCAACAATGTCTCTTTTCAATTTTGTTTGCAATTCCAGTCATTTAGCTAACAAGAACGCATGTTTAACATAGTACTCGTATATTGCTTACACAGTAATTACGCTTTCCTATTTTTTCAGTACAGGAACATTTCTGTCCCCCGGTAAAATTACATCTTCCAGTCAATGTTCTACAGTAATGGTGAAATTATGAAATACATTAAGGAAGTATAAGGGACAAGATGAAGGAATACTGAAAGACAAAATTACACTGAGTTTTTAAGAAGATGAAGTTGCCTAATGATGTCTATTGGTAACTGAAAATTCTCTCTTCTTTATCCAATGTCCATTTTCTCTTGAGTGATTCCATTTCTCACACAGTGGAAGAAAATGCATTTTGCATGTATATAAACATCAGAGGAAAATCCTATTTGTACATTGTATTGGAGTTAAGGAAACATGACAAAGTAAGTTCGTTTCTGTTCAACACCTGAACTCAGGTAAATCATAAAAACCACCAGATGTTGGCAAAAGATTCCAGCAGAAAGCAGGTTGTTTCAGTCTAGCTGTAGAAATCCTCATATGCAGCCAAGGAACATCAAACAAATTAAGTGGCATAAGAACTTTTTGAGGAAAATTATATTTCAAAAGTCCCATCACATAAGAAAACAGAGATGTCCACAGGTTCATTATATAAAAGTCTATGTCTTCTAACACGGTTATTTTATTTCTTGTATTTGAGATGTTTAATTTAAAAGATGCTACTCGAAGAGCAGACCCTGTAAATAATTCTCTTCACTCCTGGGAAGGCCACCTAGAATGAAGATGTCCAGATGATTCTTTGAGCTTGCTCCTTCTACCAAAACTAGCACAGGAATCTATTTTTAGCATTTAAAATTGTCTTAAGCAGTATAGACTAGATTCTGTCACCCTTAATTACACAGAGTGGTGTATTATTTTACAAACAAATTGGTTGTTTCTATGACAGTTGTCTCTAGTAGAAGGAAAGTAAAGAAAACATAAATATGACCCTATCTAGGTACAGAGGCAGGATCCACATCTCCACAACACGCTCTTGGTTTTATTAAGGTCATTGGAAGCTGCCACAACAACTAAGAAGCCACCTAAGACATAATATAATTTCTTTTCAGCTACCACCTAATGGATAATAACAGTAATGTGTTATATGAGAACAGTTTATAAACTTGCTTGTAACTAGACTTGGTTTGTACCGTGGAAGCTGCATCCAGCCTTCAAATGTCCTAAAGTTAGGTTTCAGGATATAAACAGGTTTATGAGACCTTGAAGTACCTCAGGAAAGTTATCATGAGCAGACAGAGGGGTCATCCAGGACAGTCAGCCTTCACCACCCCACAGCTGCCACCCTGATGGGGGTGGTGGTCAACGTTAGCCAAGTAGTATTGCCCAGATAGTTCTGTGCCAAGGCCATCTCCTGCAAACCATCCTGTCACATCTCACAGATACGGGACTCAAAACCTGCCTCCCTGCTGACTGCTGACATACAGCTGTTTCTCATACTGATCTGCCGTGCAGCGTTGTAGCCTTGCTTCTGTTGTGTGACCCAAGCCATCAGATGCATCTGGTCTGGACATCATTACGAAATCATTTCTTTGCTAGTAAATAATCCCACTGCCAGGACTCCTGTTTTCCTTGTATCTACTCACCCTAATGTGGTACCCACCCAAGACAACTATCTGTGGAACAGCTTCTTACACAATGAACCTTTCCTTTTGCCTTCCTTCAAAATCCCCTCTACCCTTTCACACACCAGCATCATTAATCACTTTCTGTAGCTTTCCGGCGTCATAGGGGTTTACACTGCGCTCTCTGCCAGCAAGTCCTTTGAAGCAGAAGTGGGTTACATGTCTGGCACAGAGCTGAAATGGCTCGCCTTCTGCTCTGCACAAATAATGCAGAATCCTAAATGCATGCTTTCAATTGGGTCAGTACATGGCCACTGACAATGGCTATCCATTTCTAAACTGATGTTGCTGGGCTGATACAGCCACTGTTTATTGTCAGAGTGAGTCAATTCCCTTCCTGTCCTATAATTTTCCAGCGTGTTGGCAGAAAGCCACAAGTCGGAAGGACATATGCAGACGGCCGTTGTCTTACCCGTACAACACTATTTTCAATATTTTTTAGTTCTTCCACGTAAATATGCAGCACAAGTTCGCTTACCAGATAAAACACTGGCCTGCAGAAAGGTTAGCACAAGTTCTTTTACCCTTTTTAGGGCATCTAAAAGTAAATATTTTGTATATGTAGACTATTGTATGCAAAAATCACACACTGACTCTGGATTTCAATTTGCTTTTGTGTCAGAATAATCAATGAACAATTCCCTATTGCATAGACTTGTACTCCGAGGAAAATATTAAATACTCACACACCTAGCAGCAAGTTATTAAAATGATCCTAACATGGAATAATTTAGGATTCAGTCCTACAATTCTATTTGTACTTATTTGCCTACTTGCAAAAAAAGGACTTCTTACAGTTCATACATGGACTTTCTTCCCAATGCGATCTGTTGGTTATGAACAACCTTTGAATAGTTATTTTAGATGATTCCCTAAGAATACTCATGTATGTCTGATGGGGGAGGCAAATGAATTTACTTCTTTTATCTTCATAAACATACAAACTCACAGAGAATATATATTATTACTTCTATATTAAGAAGTAATATATTGAATTAATTCCTGGTCCTTACTAAATTGAACATTTATATTTTTAGCTGTATATTTATGTTAAGCATGGAGTACTATTATACAGGATGCTTACAATGCAATTAAATAAGTTCTGGACAGCAAATCAACTATATTTGGTCAGATAAAGTTAATTTTTGGAGCTGTCATTGGAATATGATTTTAAGAATTATGGTTATTTTCATGTAATGTTAATGATCACTTATTTCCAAGTCAGTCTTGGTCTCTACATAATTTTACAGGCATGTATAAGATAACCAAGTAGCCAGAACTCTACCTGCCAGCTAAGATTAGGAACTTCAAGTAAGGCTGATCAGTATGCAAGTTACTGTTTTTAAGACAGAAATTCTGTCAATACAGAAAATAAATTAAAACTAAGTAATTAAAAGTTTTATATATAAAAAGGTTACTATATGACTTATCTATATATAACCAATATATATAGTTTAAAAGATTTAGTTGAAGACACCTTTGTGTCTCTTTCTGAGATGTCTGGGTTTGACTCTTATGAAAGTGAGCATTCTAAATTAACACCATGGGTTTGAATGTACAAACTTGAAACCCCTTACGACTGAAAATGCAGATTCACTTGTTCCTTTCCTGTTTTAAATTTCAGTGAACATAGGACTCAGTGAAAACCAATTGGCATGAATTTTGGTGTATGTCTTTGCAGTGCCACTGCTTTGGACAAATGACGTCTGAACATCCTACAGTGTCTGCAGCTGGTTTCTACAAGACTTGTTTCTGAAGGCACTCAGCAGCAGCTGCCTGCTGTATTCAACATGGAACATCTGGAGATCTTCCTCTCTTCAGTGACAGATGGTGTTTGGTGCGCAGCGAAGCATTGTTAGGTCCATCCTCACCTGTGCATTTCTTCATTAATTAACAGAGTTCTTTGTTTTCCTTCTGTCACTTTGTCTGATGCTTTTTGTAACATTAATGGTGACTTCTTTTGTGGACTTTTTCTGTGTGTCCCATTTACTCTGTGAAGGTTTTAAACAGTACAGTGAGTTCCACACTGACAGCACAAAGAGTCATTGATGATTACCTTCTAATTTATGCAAACAGTTCTACGTAATAAACAGAAAGACTCCAGCATTCTTCACGCAGTACTGTGATGTGGAGCAACCTTCTCATTCAGCGTGGATGCAAGCTTTTGTAACTGCTATAAAGGCTGTGGACGTCAGCAGACTTTGGATCAACCCTCTCGGCTATAATTGTCTTCTCTGCACACGTGTATTCTAAAAGTGGAGTAAATAAATCTGCTTGAGTCCAGAAGTGGAAATTAGGGGTTCCTTTTGCTGCTACTGGGAGTTGAGCAGGACTAGCCTGAGACAGAATTTTCTCTACTTTATGTTGCTTTATTTTATGTCTATGTGAAAATAGTTTCAAAATAGCACTTAGTTCTGCCAGCATATAAGACCCATGTACAATAGATGCCTTTCACAGCTTCATCAGATTATTTCCAAATATTCAAAGAAGTCAGTCTGCCTGAAGCATGCAAGTGCATCCCTAATTTAAATTTATTCTTCTCCATCGCCTAGTCTCTCTGCTTGTTGCCATAAGCAACGCACTATACTGCACAGTAAACTGGATAGGTCTAGCAACGGACATTCAGAACAGGGCTGATAGCGATGCACAGCTGATCTAGGTGGGTTTGATTATTCTATTTCCAGAGTTTCATGAGACAATTTGTAAGTGTGAAGAGTGCCAGGTAAATTAGTCATCGTCTACATGATAATAATGCCAGGTGGAATATTTTCTGGTAAACTTCCACTGACATGAGTGGAAGGTACATACTTATCTGAGAGCAAAATCTGGTATTTATTTGCCGCTATGTATTACTTCACATTTCTGCAGCCTTAATACACCAGGTCCTTCACTGTCTACTCTCCCTCTGCTCCGGTTCACACAAGGGCTCTCCAAAGACTACACATATGAAAATCAAATCAGGTTGTTGTCAGTCAGTGACATAATCTGGATACCACCTTTGCCTCTGGGGTGCCTGACTTCTGTTGCCTTCACTGGTATCACAACTCCTTTCATCAGCAGCATCTTTTACTTCCAAGTTGTTTTGACATTACCCTCATGAGAGGGTACTAAGATTTCCCAGGTGTGGCCCATGTCAAACCCTTTCCCTTTCGACACCACAAATTGTACCCTGTCACATAATTGATGGTGGGGGTAAGGCAATAGGATGCCTTAGAGCTTGATGCCTGAGATAATGAGAAACAAAGAGGTAAAGCAATTTATCCTCTACTACCCCGCAGGCTGATCGCAAAGCCCAAGTCTCCTGAGAGCACCGTGTACTGCATCGTATTGTGTCCTACAGCACGCAGAGATAAAGGAAAACCTGTAGTCAGTGTGAATGTTCGGGTGAATAAAATGAGCACATTTTGAGTTGAAGGCAACAGCCACATTCTCGACTCCACACACCTGAACTTTAGGTGTCCAAATTGGAAACTTGCTCATCTTATGCTTCTCTAAACAATTTGTGGAGAAACAGAGATTCAGAAAAGCAAACCAGAGCTGGAGCCTAGCTTAGATACTACACTTTTACTGCAGGGAAATACATTTCTTTTTTAAAAGACTATAAGAAGTTCAGGTAAATTACCTTCCTTTCTTAGACACCTGCACTAGATGCATAGAATAATGTAAATGCCCTACTTCTCAACAGAAATTTCTTTGCACTGGGTTGCAACAGTGCAGACATATATTACTGAATGTATCTTAGCTAGAAAAGGGCAGGAGGATACATTCAAAGCCATAGGGCCCCAGGTCAGCAACCCACACTTCACTGAGTACTCCCATTACATTCAACACTCACATTATTAATATGTTGTGGGAATTTGCCCATACTTCCTATTAAGTCTAAATACAGAAGTAATTTTTCAATCACTTACAAAATTAGACAAACAATTTTCTGTGTCCGTATGTCAGGCATACACTATAATTCTCAAGTGTGGCCAAGTCTTTTTCAAATTGGATTAATAATTATGTTAGTTCTGTTCAACCATATCCAACCCGACCAATTCATCTGTCTCTGTGGGCTAGTGGCTATGACAGGCATTTATGTTTTTCATTTACAGCAAACCCATGGCTCTGGATGTCATGCTGCTGTAGAATGTGTCCCTCTACATCTGGAGCTGCAGTAGTGGAAAGATACAGCCGGATCCATGTCACCGGGGAATATTTCTGTACTACATCGGTACAGAAGAATATACAGTGAAGGTGTAAAATAAACAGATGGGTACCAATGTGTTGTTTTGTTAGCAAACGCAAGGCAAAGGTTGGTCAAAATTCCCTTTTTCCCTTGCCCAGTCCCCCTGGGTTTAAATTTACCCCTGTCAAGGACATCATTCCCTAGAGGGGACAGCTTCTTATGGGGTGGGTGTAGTGGTTCTGCCACATGCCATGCTCAGAGGTCTTCCCACCTGAGAAATGGAGGAAACAGTAAACAAAGCATAGTTTTGAAATTACTTTGATTTGCAGCAGCCCAGCAGCTGCTACACAAACAGGGCAGCAGGTGGAAAGCTGTGAGAGACAGGCAGGTAGGCAGCTGGAAGTTTGGGGTTTGGTCTAGCCCCAATGCCTTGGATGTTCGTACATTATTGTTATCCTGGATGATCCTTCTACAACATATACAACATATAGGTGATAAGAGGGGAGGACCTGATCCAAAGCCTACTGAAGTTATTGGAAAGACTCACATTGACTTTTTCAGGCTTCACATCCAGCCTTGAATGAACCAGGGCTCATGCAGTGCGCATCATTTAAGCAAAACAGCAATTAAGGAAAAAAGCTCATTCCTGTTCAGATAATTAACCTAAACAGTTCGCACAATACATGCCACAGCTGGACTGAGCTGGAAAAAAATAAGCATGGGGTTTTTTTTTGAAGTAACAAGTGTGTGTGTTGCTCCGGTTGCGGAATAAAACATCAATTTGGTGGCCATTCAGGCATGTGGCGTTGTCAGAGGTGCTGGGCTCAATCACACCGTGGCTGGGGTGCACCCATTTTCTCTTATTCAAGGCATTAAATACAGTTCGACTGCAGCGAGGAAGATTGTCACAAAAATAAGTTTGACCTGGCTGAAACAAGTGCTGCGTGTCAGGGAACATCATTACTCTCTTACCTCTGCTGTCCTGAAGCCATTCTGTCTCTGCATCGTAGCTTCCATGCCGTGGACCAAGGGGTTCGCACACTGAGGGCCACAGTTGTTCCTCTTCTCCGTGTTCAGCATTGCAGCTGTGGCCGACACTGTAGTTACACCTGCCTGAGCTGGTTTCCCATCCTCCAGAAGACCTAGCAGGAATACATGGCGATGTGCAATTAATACTAAGGAGCAGTTTATAACTGATTCCTTAGTATTAATTGCACATTAATACTAAGGAACCCTCTATTTCACCAGGTTTTCGTGACGGCACAAGTCACCGGCAGCGCAGTACGGCACTACAGTGGGAGCAGCCTACCTCCTTCAGTCACTTTTATCCTCATGCTTTCTGTTATTTGGCCTTTCTCCTGCAGTGCACTGCCCTGTGAAACACTGGCTCAGAAAACATGTCAAACCAGTTGAGTGCAGCCTATCAGTAACCTTTTGGTCACCTGCAGATCTCCACAGGCTTCTCCACACACACAGCTGCTTGCGTGGTCAAGGGTTTAACTAAGGACCCAAAGAGGCTCCCCATAAATCTGTTTCAGCTCTGCGAAATGAAGGGGTTAGATGTGAGCAGGAAAGGTGAGACCAATATGGATGGACAGCTCTATTCGTGGCCTTGAACATTTTTTTTTCATCAGAAGTTGAGGAAAGAAATTCAGGAAAAATGTATTTCACACTGTTTTGACTATCAGTAATCAAATAAATGACTAATTTGCTTGCTGCTCTAGCTAAGGCATGCACTGTACAACATTATATTGACCAGCTTAAAATAATTTTATCATCTTATTGCATTAACAAAAATCATTTATAGTGAGTGCAGAGCACTAAACATCTGGTTGCAACACTGGGTTCAAAATCCAAATACAAAGAGCAGGTGGGATGCGTAGCGCTCAGTTTTATTTTTGGCAAAGCTCATTTGTAGCAGGCTTTATGTTCAAATAAAATAATAATCAAAAGCAGATTTACTAACGGGCAATGCACGTATCAAAACTGGAAGAAGCAGCAAGGAGTGAGAGACATGAGAAAAAACAGTAACAATTCATTGCTCCTTGAATTGTGCCATCAAAACCTTCTGCCACCAATCAGGTGGGAATTCAAGCACAATATTAAGGGTATTAAAAAAGAAGGAAAGTCCTGAATTCTTTCCCAGAAATATCTAAGAAAAGTTGCTTTATTAGTAGAAAGCAACATCAGTAGCAGCTAGCAAAGGCAATGACTGAAATCAATAAAGCTTCAAGCACATATTCAAAGTCTTGATATTGAAAATATCTGAAGTTGTGTAAGATTGAAGGAGTCTAAACACCAACTAGTCACTGCATTTCCCTGAGCAGTCAGAAGATGGTGTTAGTTTTCTGACGCCAGTTTAACTTGTAGCGTTGGTAACTAATAATGCTAAGTCATTTACCTTTTGCTAGAAAAAACTTGAAAATACCATTTTGTAGTTTATTTTTAAAACCCCTCAAACTTCAGTCTTTGGAATCTGCCTTTTCTTCTAGATATAAAAACTAATGTCATTCTCCCGTCTAAATCTACAGGCAACTTCCCATAAGACAAGAGTGAACCTCACCCCTCCTACGTCTCCTCAGAGTCCACACCTACTTGTGTTTTAGGTCTTAGCTCTTCCTACCACACCACAGTGCCAGATTGAGAGGCAGAAAAATGGCTTTGTGCAGAACTGTAAGTGGCATAGACTGAGATCATAAACAAAATCAGTTGTCAGGAAGGGAGATGGAGAGACAATTAGTTGTGTGTGAGTCAGAGCTCTAAGCCAGGAGCCACGCCGTAGTCTGCTGCTTCACCTTGCAGTGGAGCTGTGAGAACAAGCTTGAGCACAGCTTTGAACAGGCAAAATGCTCTAGGCATTACATACTAATTCCATTAATTGAATCTTGGGCATTTCAAACATATATGAATTATGAGGTTTTCTTTCTGTGGAGTCATCCTACTAAATTACTTTCCACCATGTGTCCCTTTGGCCATCTGGCCTCTAACTAAATTGTCTGGTGAAACAGCTGTCAGCTGAAAAAGCCACTTTGTTATTAAGCATAATTGTTCATTTATCTGATGGTGTTGCATCTTTTGGTCTCGCACAGAATTATTTTTCTTACATCAATCCATTTCTGGAGGCTGATGCTAGAAATGGTACATCTGGTTCATTTTTTGTCCTCTGTAGTTTGCAGTCTAAGCATCCTTGTTGCATCCTGCATTGCAGGGGAGAGACTTTTTTTTGCAATTGTGCTGGATTCATCCAGGAAAG